GATTAGATTAGATTAGATTAGATTAGATTAGATTAGATTAGATTAGATTAGATTGACCTTTATTGTCATTGTATTCATTCAGAAGAAGACAGAACATAACAAACATGGGAGAACAGGTACCCTGGGTCAGGCAGCCACAGACCCCAGCCCAGAGCAAGGATCATCTTCATGAAGACACCATGAGGAGGTGCTACCCTTAACAGAAAAACTAAAAACCACACAAGGATAGATGAGGAGAAACAAAACAAAACATCATATTATATCAACAATGTGACACACTATGGTGTTTATAAAGAAAACTCTGCATAGAGCACATTTATTAGCCAGAGGAGTGAGTGAGTTTAGGGGTGTGTGTATCTGAAGTCATGAGTGTTGTGTGCTTGTGTGAATATCCGAAGAATGAGCCCGAAGAATATGGATGGTAACTGTTCATTCTGTGCAGCCTTCAGCTTGCTCCAGGAACCAGATCACAGACGGGTGTGAGAGGGGTGGGGTAGACCCTCAGTCGACATAAACATCCAGGAAGAATTTAGTCCACAGCTCTAGGTCGTTGTAGGGGAGAGACAAATTCTGTAATCAGTTGTTTTGGGAACAGAAGAGCCAGGCAGACAATAACAATTTTCCATCTGCTTTTATGTTCGCTGGTACCTCTCAATGTGGCGAATCCAATCAGACAAATAATGTGGAGAAATTCCACCGAGCTGAGCTATCAGCTTTCTCCAAGYTAAATTCCATCTGGCCAGCAAAGTCCAGGGACCACAGCCGGTCCACGACCCTCAGCAGAACCGCTTGCAGACCGAGTCCAGCTCGCACAAGGCAAAAGTCTGAGTGCTGATAGAACGACAATCCTTCATAATCGGTCAGGCAGCCAGGAGATGAACAGCCACCGATGCTGTTTTGTAGAACAGAGACCACCAAGCCAATCTGTAGAATCCAGTGATCGGAATCCAAATATACAGTATTATCAGAACAGAGGCACCACCTTTGACAGGTCCTCCCATGGAAGAAAAAACTTTGTTCCAAATATTTATTAAGAGACCAGCTAACCAAATCCATAAAAATAAAAATAAAAATATCCATTTCTGGTTTCGGATGAAAATGTAGAGAGGGCTCCGAGCAGCAGAGCAGGGAAGATAAGGAAGGGCAGGAGAGAAGGAAAAGTGTCTTACTCCTCTGAGAGCAGAACAAAAAGAATAACAAACCTCTCTTTGTTTGTTTGTTTTTGTTTTTCAGACTTTTGACGCAGATGGAAAGGTGATCGAGGACCCGACCACCCAGGCTCTAGAGGTGTTTTGCAGCTGCTGGTTCACATTTGAGGTGAYGAGAGTTTTGTGTTCCACATTATTCATGTGAACATTTTTAACACATTCTTGCACATTTAAATAAAAAAAATGTTTCTGGTCTCAGGTCATGACGCGGCTGCTGCTCGCTCCGAACAGGAAGAAGTTTTTCCATCACCCTCTCAACATCATCGACATGGTGTCTGTGGTTCCCATCTACATCACCCTGATCTTTGACCTGACCGTGGGGTCTGAGTCYGAGCTGGGGAACCTGGGTCGACTCATACAGGTGGGACACTGTTTGGCTCCAGCYGCTCTGCAGTGTTTGAAATCAGCCTGCAGTGTTGGCTTCAAATAGAGCTTTGATGATTTACAAAGAAAAAGCATGCGGGTAGAAACGACTGCTAGCTGTGCAGCTCCGCTCACACAGACTCCTCTTCCTCTCAGGTGTTCAGGTTAATGAGGATCTTCAGAGTTCTGAAGTTGGCTCGACATTCTACAGGTCTGCGTTCTCTGGGAGCAACACTCCGGGTCAGTTACAGGGTCACACAATTCTAAAGGTTTCCATCTATTCAGTCTGTTTYAACCAACTAGATCCTGTGCTGGGCCTGAGGGGCTGACCTAACCAGCCTATCAGGGTCCACCTGGTCCAAACTCAAGCTCTCACTAACACCTCTTCACAGCTTATGTCTGTTAACCCAGAGAGAACATGTGAACTCGTGTTAAACATGTTTGTAAACCGTTCAAGACGTAATCAGTGGTTCCCAAAGTTGGGGTCGGGACCCAAAGTGGGGTCCTAAAACATTAAGGTGGGGTCCTGAAAAGATTTTCTGAATTAATTATATTTTTGCCTTAGTTGCCTAAAATGTATAAATGTAGAATAATAAATATTACTATACCCATGTTTATTTGACCTGATACAAATGTTTATCATCCAAAAATAGTTGTGGGCTCAGGTCTCTGCTACTGTTTTGTGAGTCAAAAGCTGAAAAGTTTGGGAACCACTGCACTTCAGAAATCAATTTAAAGGGTTGCTGATGTAATGTTTTCCCTATAATTATTACAAAAATATAAAATAAGTATAAATAAGTGTTTATATTTGTGTAGCTTTTGTTTTTAGGGTTATTAACAAAGTTTGTGTACTCAGACCAGTAATATTTGGGCTCACAAGTTTTTGCCATGAATATTTTGTGGGTCAGAAGATAAAAAGTTTGGGAACCACTGGTCTAGATCATGTTTGTACAGTTCTACAGAAACACACACGTGCACAGCTCTGTAAACCAGCACACACGTGCACAGCTCTGTAAACCAACACACACGTGCACAGCTCTGTAAACCAACACACACGTGCACAGCTCTGTAAACCAACACACACGTGC